GATTGCCACGTCGAGGGCAAGCCGCACGAGGAGGAGGGTGATGGCCATCTGGGTTATTTGTCTCAGTGCCCAGGTGGAGGGCGAAGACAACAGGAGGGAATCGGAAGGCGGAGGCGACGGGAGTGCGGACGTGGGGTCTGAACCACTTGGCCTCACCGTCAGGCGCGCACGCCCCGCCCGAGGCAAGGAACGGGACAAGAAGGAGAGGGGAAGGTGGGGGAAGGAGCGGCGGCTGACAGGATCTAAGCTGGCCAGATCACCGAAACGCTCCCTCCTGCCCCCCTCCCGCCTCTTCCCGCCCTCCCCCCTGCAACCCTCCACCCCTCAATCCCTGCCCCTCAAACCCTTCCACCCTCAATCCCTCCCCCCCAAACCCCTTCCAGACCCTCCCCCTCAAACCCTACGCGTGTCCGCCCCCTCGCCGATGACGACGACGATGGACCGCTAGGATCACGGACGACGACGACGACGACGACGACCATGACGACGGCGACGAGGAGGAGGAGGACGACGACGACGACGACGATGAGGTCGACGAGGACGACGACGACGACGACGACGACGACGACGACGACGACGACGACGACGACGACGACGACGACGGGGTGGCGGCGGCGGCAGTGGCGGCTTGGGCGACGGCTGCGGCAGCGGCGGCCAGCATCGTGTCGGGGCCGAATGGGGGTCCCCCAGAGGTTCCCCGAGGCCCCCTGTGGCCTCCGGACGTCCACGAGCGTCGAAATCTTGAAACGCCTGGAATCTCGGACTTCGGCGACGCCGCCGACGATGACTGCAAAGACGCCATGACCACCACGACCGACGACGACAAGGACCACGACCACGACGACGACGACGACCACGACCACGACCACGATGATGATGACGACGAAGACGCCGACCGCCACGACGACGGCGACCACGACGATGACGATGACGACGACGCCGACGACGACCACGACGACGACGACGACGAGGACGACGACGACGACGACTACGACGACGACCACGACCACGACCACGACCACGACGATGACAACGACGACGACGACCACGAGGCCGACGACGACGTCCACGACCACGACCACGACGACGACGACGACGATGACGCCAGGTCCAACGGCGAGCACGCCCGGCTTGCTGTGGGGAGGCAGACCAGACAGCGAGTGGCGCGCCGTCGCCTCCCACCCAGCGCGCGCGGGGCCCCGCCTGCGGCTGTCGTTCCACTTCTCCGTCGCCTCCTCGGGGAGGAGGAGGAGGCGGAGGCGGAGGAGGAGGAGGAGGAGGAGGAGGAGGAGGAGGGGGAAGGAGGAGGAGGAGGAGCAGGAGGAGGAGCAGGAGGAGGAGGAGGAGGAGGGCGGATGTTTTGGGAAGTGCTGACACAGAACATAGATTAGGTTGGGACTCTGTTTAGTGTTCTCTGGGAACATGTTCCAACAGGGAAATGCTGTGTAGGTTCCCTCATCCCTGCTTCTCGTCCCTCCTCCTTCTCGTCGCAGCGGATGCCAAGGAGGAGGGACGAGGAGCAGGGACGAAGGGGGAGGGACGAGGAGGAGGGGCGAGGAGGGTAAACGAGGAGGAGGAGCGGAGACGAGGAGGGACGAGTAGGAGGGATGATGATGCTGATGATGATGATGCTGATGCTGATGCTGATGCTGATGCTGATAATGATGATACGGATGGTTGATGATGATGGTGCTGATGCTGATGCTGAGTAGGATGATGATGATGATGATGATGATGATGATGATGATGATGATGATGATGATGATGATGATGATGATGATGATGATGATGATGATGATGAGATGAGGATGAGGATGGATGATGATGATGAGGATGATGAGGATGAGGATGAGGATGAGGATGATGATGATGATGATGATGAGAAGGAGGAGGAGGAGGAGGAGGATGATGATGATGATGCTGGTGATCCGTAGCAATTTTGGATCAAGCCGACTTCGGCGCTCCTTACATTCACAAGCAGTGTGGGCAGGACGCCTGTAGAGGAGCGAGCTGCAGGAGGGCGCCATGGCGATGGAGCCGAAGACCGACCAGCAGGGGCTGCCCAGCGGTGCCGAAGCAGTGCAGGACGGACACGACGGAGGCGCCCACACCTGGCAGAGGCGCTCGCGTTCCCAGATGCACAGATTTCGCCGCCGAGCCAGGATGCTGCGCATGGGCGCAACAGTCGGAGTGCCGCCAGGCCTCGAGAAGCTGGGAGATGAGAAGTACGACGGCAAGAACGACATGGCCGCTGAGCAGCCCCTGCCGGGAGGCCACCCCGAGTCTGGGCCTCGGCAGGGAAAGGCTGAGGAGGAAGAGGAGAACGAGTATTGCGCGGATGAAAACGATGCCAAGGGCCACACCGCGTGTGAAGAAGACATGGACGCAGGTTTGTGCGACACAGTCTACGACTCGCTCTCCCTGCTGACGGCGCGCGCATCGAGGCAGAGTGCACCGAGGGTAGTAGAGGAGGACGAGCTTGACGCCCACCTGCCAGTAGGTTGGCAGAAAGCATCAAACACTTGGGTGAAAGCTGGCTTGATGGAATGGACACAAGGATTGCGCTTCACGAGCACCGAGTTCATGCCTGACCCATCGCCGAGCCTAGACGCAACACGCGAGTTTCCAAGCGAGCGTGAAGAAACATCAACAATACCGATAAAAACAGCAGTGAGCGTTCCGCCAAGCGCATTTGCGGGTCTGGGTAGGGGATGGGCCACAGAGCCATAACCTTGCACGTTCATATGGGTGCACGTCTAGCCTCACTCGGCCCTGAGCCGACGTAGGGACAGTCCGAAGCCCTGCGTGGGCAGGAGTCTCCAACAGGCGAGCCTCTTGCTCCTATTGAGTGAGTTTCCCAGCAGCCACTGTCCCATCTGATTCGAGGATCTGTTGGCTGCCCAAGGTCTGGACTGGACTGGGATGATGATGATGATGATGATGATGATGATGATGATGATGATGATGATGATGATGATGATGACGACTAATGACGACTAATGACGATGCCGATGCCGATGACGATGGTGATAATGATGCTGGTGTTGATGATGATGGAGATGACAATGATGATGATGGTGATGATGAGTCTGGTGATGCTGATACTGCTGATATTGATGGTGATGATAATGATGATGATGATGATGCCGATGGTGATGATGATGGTGATGTTGATGGTGCTGTTGATGTTGATGTTGATGATGATGGTGGTGATGATGATGGTGAGTATGATGATGATGATGATGATGCTGATCATGGTGATGCTGATTCCGATGCTTGTGGTGAGAGTGCTGGTGACGGTGGTGGTTATGGTGATGTCGAAGTTGATGATAATGTTGATGCTGCTGGTTGTGCTGATGGTACTGATGATGGTGACGAGGGTGGTGGTGAATATTGTGGTGGTGATTATGCTGACGATTGTGATGATTATGGTGATGATGGTGACGAGGATGTTTCCGATGATGACGATGCTGATGCTGATGCGTGTGCTGCTGATTATGGTGTTGATGATGATGCTGCTGCTCATGATGATGATGATGCTGATGATGATGATGCTGATGATTCTGATAATGATGATGTCGATGTCGGTCTTGGTGCTGTTGATTTTGTTGATGTTCACGGTGAGGATGATGATCATGGGCATGACGGTGTCGGCGATGGTGATTGTGAATGTGATGTTGGTCAGAATGAGAACCATGAGGGTGATGATACCGCGGTTATTGATTCAGACGGTGGCGATGATAGTGGTGAGGATGGCGATGATGCTGCTGATGCTGGGGCTGCTGCTACTTCTGATCATTATTCCGATGCTGACGCTGATGCTGATGTTGATGCTGACGCTGATGCTGGTGCGGAGGATGCTGAGTTTGATGACCATGATGCTGGTGATCGTGACTGTGATGTTGAGGGGGGCGAGGATGATGATGAGGATGACGGTGCTGCTGATGCTGGTTCGACTCATGATTACGATTATGATGGTGGTGCTGCTGCTGATGATGATGCTGATGATGTTCTCATTGGCAACGGTGATCATGATGATGATGGTGGTGATACTGATACTGAAGATGATGCTGCTGATGATTGATTTATTGATTGCTTGGTTGATTGATTGACTGTTAATGGTGGTCATGGTGATGCTGATGGTGCTGATGATGATCAGGATGCTGTTGATGATGATGATTATGATGATGATGCTGGTGATGCTGATTATTATTATGATGCTGTTGATGATGGTGATGCTGATGATGATGATGGTGGTGGTTGTGGTGGTTGGTGTGTGTGTGTGTCGGGGGGGCCTGTGGTAGTAGTGATGATGATTATGATGGTGATGATGATGATGATGATCATGCTGACGATTGTTTTGGTGATGACGATGATGATTGTGGTGATGATGATGATGAAGCTGATGCTCATGCTTATGCTGCTAATGATGATAATGATGATGATGATGATGGTGAGGATTCTAATGATGACGATGCTGATGGTGAGCATGATGATGATGGTGGTGGTGGCGATGATCATGATGCTGATGGTGATGATGATGATGCTCATGATGCTCATGATGATCATGATGATGATGATGATGTTGATGCTGATGATGGTGATGCTGATGGTGACGAGTATAATGATGATGATGGTGGTGGTGGTGGTAATGATGATGATGATGACGATGATGATGATGCTGCTGCTGCTGTTGATGATGATGATGATGGTGATGATGATGATGATGATGATGATGATGATGATGATGATGATGATGATGATGGTGGTGGTCGGGCCCCCTAGGGCGTCTTGGAGGCTTCCTGGGGCGTTTTGGAGGCCTCGCTTGGGCCGTCTTCGACGTCGTGCCCGCCGTGGACGACGTACGCTTGGGGCGCAGGGCGCCTGCCCAGAGCAGTGGCCGCGTCGCAAACAGAACGAAGGCGGGGAGCGTCGTCGTCGTTGATGGGCCAATTTTACACCGCCACTACCACCGGCAGGACGGGGGAGAAGGGAGGATGGGGAGATCCTCCTCCTCCTCCTCCTCCAAAAGGTCCACTTCGATCGGCCCCCATAGGGTTTTTTGTGTTGTTCTCTCTCTCTCTCTCTCTCTCTCTTTTTTGTTTTTTCTCTCTCTCTCTCTCTCTGTCTCTTCTTTCACCACCAGTACCACAGGTTCGAAGAAGAGAAACACCTGCATAAACATACACTTTTGGCGCTCCGCGCGGATTTCTTGGATCCGCGCTAGGCTCCCCCGGCGGCGCCTGTGGCGCCGCACCTGGCGCAATCCGCGCGCCAGGGAGGGGGTCCCAGCGCGGATCCCAGAAATCCGCGCGAAGCGCCAAAAGTTTATGTTTATGTCTTCGTATTCTGCTTCTTCAGGGGGAGACCGTCCTCCCTTCGCGGGATGCGAGGCGTCACAGACGCATGCATTTATCCACCTTGTCCACCTCCTTGCTGGTGTGTATATGAGGCAAGATGCCGGTACATGGCACGGTCTTACGCCCCAAACAAAAAACAGAATTGGCAGACGAGCTCGATAGCACTCCTTCCTGTCCGATACTACCGGCACAGTTGGCCGAAGGCTGTGCGTGCAAGTGCGAGCGATTGGAAAGACGCCGATTTTTCTGAGTATCGCCAACTGCACGCAGAAGGCGACGAGGATCGCGGAGACAAGGGCGTAGATGTAGAACACCGCGCCACGAAGTCCTGTCCCGTTCGACCGGCGCCGAACGTCCACTTTCCTAGACTGACGCCGACTGCACGCAGACAGCGTCGAGGAGCGAGGGGAAGAGGACGTATATTTAGAAGAACGTGCCTCCCCGGAAGTCATGTTCCGTTCAGCCGGGCAGAATCGTCCAACCAACGGACACCGAACGGCCAATGTCCGAGGGGAACGCCGGATGGCGCTCCAAATGAAGAGCGCGAGGGTGAGGAAGATCACGCCTGAACTCAGGTCTTGCCCAAGCAGGCCGGGGAAGATGAATCCCGCAGACGCCAGCCTTCCCAGGGCACCTCGTGAAAGGCGGTGTGCGTGCCTGGCCGGCGGAGCCAGGACGGTCCCTGGAGAAAGCCACGTCGCTCTGGACATCCGTCGGGCCAGAAAGAAGAGATGTAGAGTCCAGCCCAGGGCTGGTTGCTATCCGTCCGGTCATTGCCGCTGCCATCTCGAAATGGCCCGAGTCTGGCAGGCATACTTCGTGAAAGCCTGCAAGTACGTTTCGTCCGTGTAGCGATACTTTCGAATTCATGCGGGGCTCCCAGCTGGGAGCAGGAAGTACTTTGCCCAGACAACCACTAGCGCTTGAATGCAGAAGCATCGAAGACCAACCTCACGGCGAGGACGCGTTGTCATGGTGGTCCTGATCCTCCTCCTCCTCCTCCTGCTCCTCCTCCTCCTCCTCCCTTCTCCTCCTCCTCCTCCGTCCTCCTCCTCCTTCTCCTCCTCTTCCCTCTGCTACCGCTGGTACAAGCGGTGGGGGAAATCGTCCCATCAGTCGCCTTCGTCGTCGTCGACGACGAGGTCGGCGAGATCGACGAGATCGACGCCGACGATGGCAATGCCGACGACGACGGCGACTACGACGACGATGGCAGCGGCAACGGCAACGGCGATGCCGACGGCGACGGCGGCGACAACGGCAGCGACAGCAGCGACCGCCGACGACGGGCTCCAACCCAGGAGCTGTTACCAGCGGCGGCCGGCCTTTTGGCAGCTTGGGGGGCCCATTTCAGGCCCCTAGGCCGTCAAAGATTCGCCTTTGATGAAGAACCGGCCAGGGACATGCTGTTTTGTTACCCATCGGTCGTTGAAAGTAGGTCTTTTTGGATTCCCAGATTCTAATCTACGTTCAGCGCCTTCCTACCTCAAGAGTCGAGTGGTTTTCCCTCCTCCTTCCTCTTCAGGAGGCGTGCGGAAACCCAATCTATTTCCAACGCCTTCCTACTTCATGTTTCTACCTACTTCTTCCGACCGATGGGTAACCATGGTGGAACGAGATCATGCAGCACGATTCTCCCCACTGGTGGCCAGACCGTGACATTCACTCGGCTCAGGGCCTTGCGGGTCGATCCGGACCCCCCACAGAGCGCTCTCGGCGAGACGCAGCTGGTGGAAGGCATCCCGAGGCTGGACAGCCTCTGGGAACCTGCAAAAATCAGAGCGTGAATTACCTACCCCGCTTTCGCTTCCAGGCAATACCAAGTCATACCACGCGCCTCCTCGTCAAGCGGCCTTACCAGTACAGGCCGTAGTTTGGTATCGCTTGGTATCTCTTGGAAGCGAGGGTGGTCAAAAGCGAGGTAGGTTTGTTTGCCCCCTAAAAAACGTCCGAGACGCCGCCGGACAGCCGCCGAGCGCCAGAGACCGCCCTCCTGCGGCGCCAGTCGAGCAACCACGTCGACTCGCTGGCGGACGAGCTGGGCAACAGCAGCAGCTGGTCACCCGGGGGGGGGGGGGGGGGGGGGGCAGCGCGGACGGGCGGAGGGTGGTGGTGAGGAGGATGGGGCGGACGATGACGGCGAGGGAGGAGGAGGAGGAGGAGGAGGAGGAGGAGGAGGAGGAGGAGGAGGAGGAGGAGGAGGACTCAGAGCGTGAATTACCTACCCCGCTTTCGCTTCCAGGCAAAACCAAGTCATACCACGCGCCTCCTCGTCAAGCGGCCTGACCAGTACAGGCCGTAGTTTGGCATCGCTTGGTATCTCTTGGAAGCGAGGGTGGTCAAAAGCGAGGTAGGTTTGTTTGCCCCCTGAGGACGAAGTGGAGGACGAGGCTGCGGAGGAGCAGTAGGAGGTTGGCCATCGACGCTCGAGGCTCGAGGTTTGCAATGCTCTGGGGGCTCCTGGCGCACGCCCTCGTCGCCTCCGATGTATCCGGCCCGCGATTCTGGCCGACCGCGCCGGGGGCACGACTTTTCCCCGTCCCCACGCCTTTTTCCCTGTCTGTCCCGTCTCG